TGCCACTCAAACCGCTGCTCTTCCAAGGAGGAGCGTCATCCCTGATGTCGTGGCTGTGCCTATTAGGACGCTTGTAGGGCTGGCCCGCAACCCAGACATCGTCTTTAAACGTTTGGGGTCCTCTTGATCTGGGTGGCGATCTTCTCACAAACCGCCAGTCCCTCCTGCCATCAGAGGGCAGTGATCTGCGATCGCTCCTGTGATTTTGGCCACCATAGTCCCAATCCCTGTGACTGTGCACTGTTGAGGAGGCCACATTTCCATCCATTAACTTATCTGGCTCTTTCTCCTTGTCTTTTCCTGCCTGCCTCAGGGACGCAGATGGGGCATGTAATGTGGTGGAGCTCATGCGTGGCAGTGACCTTCCAACAGAGGTCGTGGGAGTCTCTTGGTGGATGGGCAGTGACTGTGGACGGGAGTCAGGCAACACCTCTGGCGCCTTGACAGGATAGTCTTGTTGCTGGTGACCAGGCACAGGTTCCGATCGAGCTGGTGGTTGCGACACCATTTCTGGCTTGCCCTCACAGCTGTGCTGCTGCTTGACATCTTTGCCAAACACTGGCGCAGAAGCCTCCCTTGATGGAGCACCACCAGCCCCTGGAGTCTCGTGTGTTCCACTCTGCTCCCTGTCCTGTGAACCACTTGTGCTGGCACCCAAGCGTGCAGAGCCCTCCCTGCCTGCTTTGCCATCCTTCATGCCATCTCCCTTCCACCGTTGCAACTGGTGGACACCTGGTCGCTCTGTCACCAATGGTCTGGGCGTTGTCACCTTGTCGCTCCCCAAGTCAGGTGCAAAAGCTGCAGACTGAGCTGGCCCATCTACCTGGGTGCCCCATCTCTGGTGTTTCAGCTTCTGCATTCGGGCCTGGCGCTCAGCATCGCCCAGCTGACCACTGTTCACACCCAGGTTACCAGCTTCTGAGTGGGGGGCAGGCACCCTGTTCAAGGATCCACCTGCACTGCCCAACGCAGCCACTCCATCGTTGGCCATCCTCACAGTCAAGGATTGGGAAATCGCTGATGGCCTGAATTGATCAGGGCCACATGAGTCAGGGCTGTCCTGGTGGACAACATTCTGGTGGTCACCAGGTGCCTGCTCATGTGCACTGTACATTTGAATTTTGTCATCACCATCACCTGGTGGAGCCTGCAGGGCCACAAGTGCGATGCTGTTGTCTGCTGCCCTCTGACCTGAGGGGCAAGCAACTTCCCCTGGCTCTCGGTCTGCTGGTACATGCAGAGGTTCTGGACCCCAGCGGTTCTTGCTTCCGTGCCTGTGCACCACACAATATGCAACCTGTTCATTAGTTTGCTGATTGTTGTCTCATCAAATAGCACATCGGCATAGAATGGTGTCATAATCAATTGCCAAATGCATTCTCAGACCATTCATGGCCAAGTGCAAGGGCTGCTACCCATCGCCAACAAAACAAAGGTTAAGGATCAAGGGAAGGCCACACACACAACTAGCGCTGGATTCAACAGTCTTCCTGGAATCAGTCCACATTTGCTACAAGATGAAATCCTTGCCCAGCTGCACTTGTCCAAGCAAACAGCAATGAAAATTGTTGGCGAAGCATTTCACGTATCAAAAGCAAACGGACGACAAAGCCAGTTACTTCTTATGAACTACACAACACCTATTCTGCAGCCGAAATGCCCAATATCCCTTCGGCATGATTGCCACCAATTTTCTCCTGGCACAACAAGGGACTCCCAGTTGCCACTTGGGCACACACACACACACACACACACACACAAACAGACAATGTGGGCATGGCCACTGAGCAAACCCTGACCAGGCGTTCAGCTCTGTCAATGTCAACCTTGCTGTAGCCTGGCCAACCAACAGAAATTGATGCACAAACGCCAACACAGCCCCACAACCTGTCCTTGCTGTGTTGCCACCGCCTCCGCTCATGCTCATGCCTGTCCCTGTATTGTCGATTCTGTCCTTGCCATTCGCTGTGTTGTTGGTGAACACCTTCAGATCTATGCACCAACGAACAAATAAATGGAGATCAACATCCAGGAGAAAGACAGCTCCTGCTCTGTGGTCATCCACAGGTTTAACATCATGAACGTGTGACAAATACTCAACTTGTTGCATCTGTGTGACATTGACAATCAGAATTATGGGAACAAGCTTGTTCTTTCTGTAGCGTTTGTTCCTGCCACCACAATTGAAAATCCAGAAATGTCCCCAAAAGACAAAAGAACCTCACACACCACAACAAAAATGAACAACACACACGGATATCACATATTCGTGCCCTGTGCATTTGTGCGAGATCCACCATATACGTTGCCCAACATCAGCCATATTCACCGTGGATTCCTGAACACACAGGCACTCCAAGCATGTGAATATTAGCCCCAGTCGTGAACAGACCAATGCAGCCATCCTATGGCGTCAGGCTGGATCCTCAATCCAAAAGCACAGACAGCGCAGACCAGAGGGTGACTGCCTAGGCAGATCAGGCCCAACTGACCCACAGAGAAGTGCGCTTCGACTTCGCAGAAGGCCTGTTGTAAATCAGCCAAAATAGGCGTAATGCCGAAGTTGACATTCCCCATGGCAGCCCATGCACGTCTGCACAATGTCGCTGTTTTCACTGACCAATCATGCCGTCGCCCTGTCCTCACCTCTTATGAGCCGGGCTTTGGCTGCGCCATCCGCTGCGGGGAGATTCCGCCCGGCGGTGGGCAACGCGGCCAACCTGCGGCACACGCACAACAGCAACGGCGCTACCGCTCGTGAAGGAGGGACAAGACAACACCCGAATCCCCTCCCCTTCCCCAAAGACAGACCTCCAGTCGATGCACATTTTTTACCCTCCGTCCAGGCGTTGCCCCACCCACCCATCTACAAACAGTTCTATTTTGCACCCACAATTCCCCAACTCCACCCTCTCTCCACAGTCGCAGGCCAATCCAAAACAATCCCACGGCCGCGCCCCAGCACCCGGGTTGGCCACACGCCACACACCCGCCGGCCATCGAAATAAAATCGCATCGGCGCCGGAACGCGAATGCCGTAAGAACAACGATTGGGGTGTTTGCGTGGGCCGGACTCATCCACAGAATGCGTTCTGGGGGCCGTGGAACCCCTTCTCCGCCCCCTCCCCGCCCCCCCCTCGACTCGCCCACCTCTCCCGGCTCCCAGTCGCGCCGGCGCCCGCTGTCCGCCCCCCTGGCGGGCCGCGTCTTGTGCGACATTGGTTGGGGCAGTGACGGTGCTGCGGCCCACTGGCCGTGAAGGGAGTGAATGCAGGGAGCGGTCGGTCATCACCAGCATCCGCGGTCATGTGATTGTGAGCACATTTTCATTCCGCTGGCGAACGCAGGAAGCGTCGAGGAGTGGCGGTCTCTGACCGGGGACCGCAGGCTCGAGTGCACGGCAAAGCTTTACAGCGGAGCAAAGGGACAGCAGGAGTTCTGTCCCTTATGTCCGGCCCGCTCATCAGTGTCCTTAGTTCAGTTCCTATTGCCTCATCGCCCCTTTATGCGTCCAGCTATTAATGATGCTCAATCAGTCCCTGTTACAACAGCGTGGTGTTGAAATACCAGCATGATGGAGCGCTTTATGGTTCTTCTTTACTCCGCTGGATGCTCCCAACGCTGCGTTCAATGACAGCTGTCCGACCCTGACGCTTCGCCGATTGTCAAATAGTTTTGACCTGGCGTTGGAAGAGTCCGGCGCAGCGCAGCAAAAATGCTTCATCATGCTTGTATTTCAACACTGGCATGTTTTTGTGCTGTCGGGGTCCTGTCCGGGGTCTGTTCGGGGGGGCGGGGGGCGCTGTCGCTCTGCGTGTCGCAAGGACTCGCATTTTGTGGTGAAACTCAGGTTGCAAAGTGTGTGTGCCATTCCAGGGACGAAAGGACGCCGGAATGGCCCGCTTCCAGTCACGAACGATTCGTTGGCCTTGCGGAGGACCCCTCTCAGCGGAGGGGAGAAAGATTCCAACTGTTCAGTGGGGGACACTGAACTGTTCAATCTGAACAGCGTTGCCTTCCTCCTGCACTACGTCCCCCCACCCACCCACCCACCCACCCATGCCTCCCACCACTTCTCCCCCAAATAGAATTCAACTCCGTAACGCTCACCACTTTTGCGTTTCATCCCACTGTTTCGTTGCTGCATCACATCAGCAACATCAGTTGCCTCTGGCAACTGCTGTGATGGCTTCAACATATGGGCACGAGTACACATTCACACTTGTACAAACTATAACAGGTAGGTGGCAGCTCGCCTGTTGCCAATACGCCAAAGGTACAGCCTTACACACATTGTGCCATTTGGACGTCGTATTGGTCAGCAGATACCCTGCACATTGGGGGCAATGGCTGTACATCGCTCTGTCAAAAGTAGACCAATAGAGGTTGATGTAGCAAGATGCTCCACAAAGCATGGGTCTCCCCAGCCTTGCAAGATTCTTGTTTCCTCGAACGATGAATTGAAACTTCCTTTGCTATCCTGGTAAGCGCCCATTGCTCATTTTGGACACGTGGTTGGCACTGTAAGCTTGCACAAGCTAGAGAGCACATCGACCAGTTGCAGGACACTGCTCCAATGTCTACTCACCAAATAAGACAACAATAGCTACAAGCACAAAACTGTTGGGCTGAGGGGCCAATTACGCTAGAACAGGCACCCAATGCTGCTCAACTTCTGGAAAACCTATTTGAGCACCTCAACGGAGGCTCAATTTTACACTGCCTCGCATACTGCTCACCACTGCGTCCGTTTGCAACCCCCCCATACACTACCTTTCCAGAATGTAGTCCTATCACCACCAGAAACAGCAGATCCCTCATGGGCTCCACTTATCATGCACCACCGACCACAAGTAGCTGTGGCAACAGGGTGCCACATTGCATGCTTCGGACTGCATGACCATGCATCAACTGGAATGAAGGTGCCTGGGCAGCATTAGTTTTGATGAACAAACTGCCATCACATTGGAATCCAAAACATTTGAATTGCCTGCATGTCCTCATGTGCCCATCCTCCAATGGGCTCCCTGCTCCCCAGGCACCTTGTGATCCTCAGGCATTGGTCTTGCCTCATACACAGCCTCCACAGCCTCCCGCCTCCTCTCTGTGAATTCGCCTTTCAAACCGATGAAGTGAATCTCGCTGTGATCGGCACCAAAGTTCTCAGGGAAGTGCAGTGTCAAGCCATGCACTCCTTGGAACTTTGCCACATGTGTTGGGTATTCCAGCAACCCCCTGTGGTCCTCATGCAGAGTCCATTCCTGTACCGGAGGCAGATCCTCCACCGCTGAAAAATCTAAGTCATCCCTGTTGACAAAGGCCCTCAATTTTCCAGGGCTTGTGCCGTCCATGCCTCCAATGACAGAGATCCCCTTTATGGCCAGGGCACCAGTGAAAGGAATGTACAGGAGCAATTCTGGGTCGTCTGCATTGCTCCTCAGGGAAGGGCCCGAGAAGTCAGTCCGCTGGGACCACGGTTTGAAAACGTTCCTGCAGCTCTCGGGCTGCCAACCAGAGACAAACACATCATCACGGCAAGAAGCAGCGATTCACTGGCAATTAGAAAACCTGCAAATATTGTGGCATCCTTGCAACATTTTTGAGACAAATGCTGCTAGTCAGCACAGCAGCAACCTTTGCCAGGTCGTTTGAAGATTGCTGATGTTCAAGCTGCTGCTTGTTCAGATTGTTTTCTGCACATCGTTTCAATCCACCTGTGGAGCGTTCATTGGCTCAGCGTCATCCTAGGATTGGCAACGTTGGAAAAAGGACATCTTGACAGAGGTTTGGCAATTGTCTTCCTAGTTGTGGAATTCTGTGTTGCACGCTATTCCTTTGGAAGCAATCGTGTGGGCGGCAATTTATCAGCGACGAACAAAGATCTTGCACCAAATGATGGCGCACAAAACGTTCCATCAAAGTTTGTTCAGTTCCACTGGCATCGGACTTTGCATCGCACATAACAACACATCGCAGAACAAGAAAACAAAACACATCTGTCGTCCGCTGCAGGGGCTGCCCATTCCACGACTTGTTCCTTTTCTGGCAAGAACACAGTCCCCTGTGTTTGGTCATTCTACCACCGGCGCACCTCAGACTCGTTCAGGCATGTGACGCGCGCCAAGTCGATGTGCTTGTAAAGCGAATACGAGACCCCGCAGTCCGCCTCGCCGCAGTCGTGATCGTGGGCGCAGGTGCCGCGAAAGCTGGGCATCCTCGTCCCTCTCCGCGGCTCCGTGTCGAGCAGCGACTGCCCTGAAGTGGCGCTGAAGTGTCCCAAAAAAGGCGTGTTGGGTGCCAAGTCACGTTGCTGACGTGGAGACGCCACAGCGAGTTGTTGTAGTCAGAACTGATCGAGTATCATTAACAGCTGGACGCATAGAGGTTAGGCATTACGAGTTGCATCAAGGACATCGATGAACGGACCGGATATAAGGGACAACCTTCGCTCCTCTGTAAACCGTTGCCGTGAACTCGAGCCCACGGTTCCCAGTCAGCGGTCGCCACCCCTACACCCTGCCTGCCTTCGTCAGCGTCAACACCAACGCTGCGTGCCCTTTGCCCAACTTGAAGTTCTCTAGTAGCTTGGCTTTCGGGGTCCAGTGTACCAACTGTGCTGAGGCCTCAATGTCCGCAATGGACTCTACGGCGCCAGCCGCATGCATCCGCCATCCAGTCGGTGCTGTGGGCTATTTGCTGAAGGACGTGAGCTCTTTACTACTTAGGGAACACCAAGCCCAAAAGAACAGGCAGAATGTTCTTTACCAAACACTCTCTAGTACAGGGCTTACTGTCAGCAAATTGCTCACCATGCCACTGCAAAGCCAGGGAGGGAACCCAATTTGCGCCACATGCACTTTGTTTTCTCCAATTGTGCTGTTGCTTCCCTTGTGCTTCATGAGCCAGACAACCTTGCAGTTCAAGGCTTGAACTATACAAGCGACAAAACCGAACTTGCCAACATTGGTTGAGTTCCACAGAAGCCTGAAATTGCTGCCAGGTGTCCAGGTGTGTGCCAAGTGTGTGTTTCATGACCGGCATCTTCAAAAAGTTAACACTTGACGGCTTTGTCTTGTTGTTGGCGGATGAAGTCAATATGATGGCAAGTTCCAGGAATCACCGTTGCTTCGGTATCCAACCGATTGATCTAAAAATTGTGGTGGCACCAAAGACGCACACATTCTAGTACTTGGTAAAAATTTTGGGGCTGTCGCAGATGTTTCGACTGGTATTTTAGGGCTACATTGCACAACTGAATATGGCTTTTTACTTGCTGCAAGCAATAGTGCATGGTACACTCGTGTTGAAACAATTGCAGCAATTGTTTCAACCCGAGTGCGTCATGCACTATTTGGAGAATCTTCCGGAGGGGGCAGCAAGCCGCAACGGCGGGTGAAACATTGTACGCCATTGCCTGGCTACCACCCCTCGTGGCTGGCAGTGCAAAATTGGTCGCAACTGAGCCATTTTGCGTGATGGCGGAATTTGGCGGCCAAAAGACCAACATCGCAATGCATCTGTTGCGTGAGAGGGCTGTACTATGAGCGCACGGAAAAACTGTGGTACTAGCCTCACAATACCAACAATGCCTTCTAGAGTGGTACCCATGGAGAAGCGGTTACGTGTTTCAATCCACCACAAGCACGTAAGCTTGGTGTGAACCGCCAACAAACAGCCACAAGCTTTTCTTACACAACACCGTATTTGCTTGTTCTTGAATGTGATCCACATTCCGTTCCCCCAAATACCTTAGTCCCAGAGAGTATATTCTCGTCATTCTAGCCATTCTAGTCAATTGCGCTCAATCCTAGTCATGAGTTTTCATTTTCTGTTTCACAGGCATCATCTGATCTGCAGGCTCTACTCCTTTTCTCCTCTTCAGTGTCCTTTGCATGTGCCGAATGCCTGCCATATTAAAGCCCATTGTGTCCTTCACGGTCTTCAATGCGCCACGCAGCAAGGGCTGAAGGCGCACCAGGGTGAGCCGAGCCTTGGACGATGTTGACAGCTGCTGTTGATGCAAACGAACTAGTAGAATCGCCACGCGGCATATCGTTTCAGCATGCCCAGTCGCATTTTCAAGCCATTGGCACAAGTAATCCAGCAGGCGCAGTGCATCCATGAATGGTATGCACATCAAGGCCGTCTCCAATTCACTTGTCTTCACATTTGAAACTGATTTGAGCACAAATGCTGAGGGATCCATACCCAGCAACAAGGGATTGGGTTGGAAGCGACCGCCCGACTGCTCATCTGGATCCTGCAATCGCAATGTCTCATGGGATGCCAGCTCAAGGGCTTCAATGACTGAGTCCGCAGCAGTAATGCTTTCCAGTGTCTGCCTGCCTGTTTCACCCAGCAACATGTAAAGAAGTCAAAGACTGGCTGGTGCCTGGAGCACACGACAAACCTACAAATGCACGCTTTACAAAGGCCCACTTTTCTGGAACCATGGTGTGACACGGCAACACAGCACAGTAGCAGTCTGACACTAGCGTACAAAGCCACCATGAACTGAGATTCGGTGCTGGGTCCAGAGGGTACAGACAAGGAACAGAGAAAAGGGCTTGGATCTTGTGCTCGGCATGTCTTTGGCCATCTCAAAGTGGATGCCAACACAGCTGCGATTCAGCAGAAGCCCAGGATATGACAAGAGTAAGCAAAAGGAGCGCGGGGCTGGCACCTGTTGTCCTATCTATGCCAATGTATGTGTTTGCCCTTCACACAGATTGCCAAGCTACTGCCATTCCTCACAAGTGCTCCCCAGTGCTCTGTTTGCCAATGCAGCCATGTGCACTCTCCAGATGAGCAGCAGCCATGTCAAGCAGGGTACACGCCCAGTTTTTGTGCCAGATTGCATGACTAGGCCACATGTTCTACAGGATTATCCAGCATGGCGCTTCCACAGAAATGCCAATGAACACAATGTCTGGCAGCTGTGCACTGATCTAAAACTTCAGTAGCACCGGCACCCCAGAAATTTCCCAACACGTTGTTCAGTTCAATGTCTGACCTACCGGCAGGGGCTGCCTTCCCATCGCCTTGAGCTGCTTGACTTCCGGGCATTTCATGTTTGTCCTCAAGGTCTTCCTCAAAGAGAGTCTCAAGGCGCTTCTCCTTCTCCTCCTCAATGAAGAATGGCTCATCTGTGCGCTCCCAGCGTCTTATGGACCGGTCGTTGGACCCAGTCAACACAAAGTCACCAAACCGGCTGACAGCCATGCACCACACCTCCGCGTGGTGGCCTGGGAGTTCCAGCAGCTGTTCGAACTTGTCCGCATCCCAATACTTCAACATTTTATCTTTCCCCGTTGAAAAGACGTAGTGGCTTGTGTGGACAAAGGCAACATGGGTGACTGAGTCCCGGTGGGCAAACAAGGACTTGTGGCAGTCGCCAAAGTCCAGGCCCCAGATCTTGATGTTCTTGTCAGCAGATCCGCTCACCAAGAGCTGGCTGTCTGACGAAATGTCCAGTGACAGGACTGGAAGTTTGTGGCCATACAACGAGAGGAAGAGCTTGAGCGAATCCATGTAAAACACTTTGACTGTTGAGTCCAGAAGAGCAACGGCCAGAAGGCGACTGTCTGGGGACACACAGACGCACAACACGTCGTCTCCAAGCCCCATCTGTCGCGTCTGTTTGATGGTCATGTTCCCAGCTGCGGACTTGCTGTCTGCCATGTCCCACTGCCAGAATTTGACAGAATGATCTGCACTTCCGCTGACGAACCCAGACCTGTCAGGGAGCTCCGCCAGTGACCACACCGGGCCCGAATGAGCCGCCACCGACTCGGCTAGGCAGGATGCCCCCAGGTTGAATATTTGAAGGGCTCCTTCCTTGGTGCCCACCGCAATGTGGCGGCCTCCAGGAGCAAACAGGCAGGACAGACCGTATCCAGAGGCTATCGTGTGCAGGCACGTCCCGTTGCTTGGGTTCCACACCTTCACCGCCGACTCTGCTGTGGACACCACCATTGATTCGTCCTCGCTGAGCGCCAGGCTCCTGATGCCCGACCTGTGCCCCGCCATATCGTTCTTGCCGTGAAATTCGACGCCCTCGCCCTCGCCGTCCTCCTCGCCCCTTTCGCCCATCTTCACAAGCTCAAAAGAATTGTTGACGAAGGTCAGCAGCAGCTCAGCAACGGGCGAATGCCTCGACGACTGGGGCCTGAAGTCAAACGAACGCAGCCTATGCTTGAGCCTCACGCTTCTCCATCGCTCGAACTCGTCCGGGGCCGAGATTCCGTCCAGCCGCTCCCAGCCTTTCTTCGCCCCACCCTCCTGGCCATCCCCCCCATCCTCACCCCGCTCTGTGCCCCTCCCGCTGGCCTTCTTCTGCGCACGGCGCCGCCTCCTCTTCAACCTTTTTAGCGCCTCCGCCTCCGGCCTCACCCGCAGCACCTCGACCACCTTCCCCGACCCCTGGCAGACCAAGAACGCCCCGTCATCCCGAAACCTCAAGCACACCACCCGGTCATTCTCCAACCTCTCAATGCTCCCCATCCTCTGCAACACGTCCATTGAATTTTTCCCCTTTCCCACAGACTCTCCAGCTCCTGGATCCTTCTCTCCGTGCCCATCCTCGCCACCAAACGACACCGAAAAAACCTGCAGCTCCCTTCCCACGCAGCCCGCCACCAGCCGCCGCCCAAATGGATCCACGTCCATCGACCACACCTCCAGGTTCTCCAGCCACAGCGTCTGGCAACAGTGCTGCGTGGCCATGTCCCACACCCTGATGTGCGCGTCCTTGGAGCAGCTCGCCAAATGCCCATCTCCCAGCCACGCCAAATCGGTCACCTGGTCCCTGTGGCCCCTCAACCTGCACACGCCCGACCCCGCCACAACATCCCACACAATCACGTCCGTGTCCTTGCTTCCTGAAGCCAACAGCCCGCCTCCGCGGCTGTAGCGCAGTGCCGTTACGCCCTTTCGGTGGTCTCGCAGCGTCACGGCGCACTCCCCGGATTCCAAACCCCACAATCTGATGCAGCCGTCGGCATGCCCGACCCCCAGCTGGCGCCCCGAGATGGCGACACGCGCGACTTCGGCGAGGGCCCTGGAGCCTTCCCCGGGCTCCGCGGTGAGGCGCCTGGCGAGCTGGCGCGTCTTGACGCTCCACACGGCGACGCTCTCCAGGGCGGCGCAGACCACATGGGACCCGGAGTCGTCGAACAGCGCGTTGGAGCCACTGGAGATGACGCCGAAGGCGCGGGCGTGCTCGTACCGGAGGTACGCCTTGACCATCGCGGGGGAGGCGCCGGCGGGGCGCGCCCGCACGGGACCAAAGCCGCGCACAGCGCGCTGTGGTGGCGGCTAAGCACGGTGTGGGTATTTCTTGGGTGTTTCTGCGACGAAGTTTTTTTTTGGGGGGGGGTTCGGAAAAATGTGCAAAACACGCTCGTTGGTCCTGACAGAAACGCTCGCTCGGGCTGCCGCTCTTCTGTTCCTTGCTTTCTTGAGTCCAGGGATCTGCAGCACTTTGGTGTGGGTTGCTTTGTGAAAAACGTTGGGTCGCGGCCCAGCCTTTCCAAACTGCTCGGACAAGCACGTTGATTCCTGTGCGGCGCAGCGGGGCGGTGCGCCTTGTTTCTTACGTACACGAAGAGAGGGGGACCGCAGCTCCCGCCAACTCCCCGCAGCAGGCACGCGTTCTACTGCTTGCTGATGCGGCGTTCCACCTCTACTGCGCGTCTGTGCGCGTTTCCTTTCCTCCCACTTCAGCACCCCTTCAGCATTGGCTCCTGCACAGCCGCCTTCGCTTTGCTCCCGGGCCTTCGCCCCAACGCATCTTCCACCGCTCAGACGCGCACCGGATGTGATTCCTCAATCGGTCGTCGGCCGGCCGCACGAGCAACGATGGGCGGACCTCAGTAGTTTGGCGTCACGTTCCGTGACGCCCGACGCGACAGCGCTCTCCCGGAGACCTCGCGGAGCATCCGCGGCGCCATCACTCCCCTCCGTCAGAAAAGCGCGGCCCGGCCGCAGATGTGTGGACACTGACTCCGCCACATGGGCGCCACATTGGCGTTGCGGGCCGCGCACACCGATTCAAAGGGCCGCCCAGTTTCCCCAAAGGCGCAGGGCCTTGCCCGAAGACACCAGCAAAAAAATCAGGCAACTAACTGGGTACCACGACTCTGGGCTCACAACCGACCGGCGCAGCACCGGCTCTGGGCAGCGGGCGGCAGGCCTTGCCACTCGCAGGGAGGGAGACTCAGCAAAGAGAGAAAAGCGAAGAGGCCGCCGTGCCAGTGCGCCGGAAAGGCATGCGCGACAGGACCTCGAATCGCGGCGGGGCGGGCTCAAGCTGGCCCCTCAGACGCTGCGAGAGCCTGGACGCCAGGTTGCCCTCGTGGGGCGGGCGGGATGAGGTCCGCAGGGCGCGCAGCGAGGGCGAGGGCGACAGCCCGAAGCGGCTGGTCGAGTCGTCGCGCGCCGCGGTGCAGCGCGCCCACAAGGCCTTCCAGGCCACGGCCGCCAACTGCCAGAACAACCTGCGCAGCCTAGGCAGCAACCTGATGTCCCACCCCGCCGTGGAGAACGCCCAGCGCCAGCTAGAGGCGGCGTCGAGCCGCCTGTCGCAGTCGTGGGGCGAGGCGCTTGGGCAGAATTCTGGCAAAGGGGTGAATGGAGGTGGCCGCCTGCGCTGGCCGCCGGTCAACGGCCACCAGGCGGGATTCCAGAGCGGGTTTCAGCAGCTGGGGGACGTGCTTCAGCAGAGCTTCCCATGGGAGAGGGTGCAGCAGGCGGCGAGCAGGACGGGCGACAAGCTGAAGGAGAAAGGGGAGGCGGACTTCGCGGCGCTGAGGAACAACCTGAGGCGGCACTTGGGCGTGGTGGCAGAGGAGGCGGTGCTTAGGGAGATCGAGGCGCAGCCGCAGAAACAGGTATTCCGTGAATTGGGGGATTTGGGCATTTGGGCCCCGAGGTGTGTCGCTGTTCGTGCTGTGTGGCTGTTTGTCCCGCCGGTTGCCGCGCCGGGCTGTGGCGCGTGGGCGGGGTCAGATTGGCGGATGTTCCGCTGTGAGATTGTCGGGCGTGCTGCAGGATCAGCGTCAGAAATGGAAGGGGACCTGCAACCTGCGGGAACCTGGCAGGAGGGTGGCCATCGTGACCACGGCGTCGCTCCCGTGGCTCACCGGCACGGCCGTCAACCCCCTGCTGCGGGCTGCATATTTGGCGAGGGACTCCAGCCGAAAGGTGCGGTGGGATCGAGGGCATCGAGGACGCCGATCGCGATCCCATGCCACCTCCGCATGTGGCAGTGTGTCTGCTCGCTCGGGGGTGTCCTCAGCGCCGCGGCCTTGCAGGCCAAAAATTGACTGCCTGTGCCTGGTACGCTGCTGTGCCTCCTGGCGCTGCAATCTGAGGAAGCAAGGGCGCTGCACCAGGAGTGGAGTTGATGTGCACTCCACGGCTTTTGCAGGTGACGCTTGTGGTCCCATGGCTGTCTAAAACGGACCAGGCGAAGATATTCCCCCAAGGCCAGATGTTTGAGTCGCCAGAAGATCAGGAAAAGTACATCAGAGACTGGGCCCAGGAGCGCACGGTGAGGATGCAGCGTGTTTAGGCATCCACGAATTGTCTGCTTGCATCTCTCCACATGGGCAAACGTTTGTACTGCCTGAAAGCGATTGAGGGAAAACTCTCCTGAATCAAAATTGTCTCCGAGACTATCGTTTGACGCCCTTCTTGGCCAACCTGCCTGAACTGTAGCGGGCATCGATTAGAGTGCACGGTTATTGATTGAGAGTGCTGCACAGTCTGTGGACCCTGTCTGCGGATTGGTCCTGCCGTCTCATATCTATATGCTCAGGTAGTAGTTTTGCTTTCTGCTTGGGCGCATGCTGCTGGTGCAGTGCTTTTGACTCTGCGCAGTGGAGAGCTGCGCCCATAAGCAGTCATATCTTGGCCCTTTCTTTGTCTCTGAACTTGGGCTGGCTGTCCTGCAGGGAATTGAAAGTAAGTTCAAGATCACGTTTTACCCTGGGAGGTATGCACAGGAGAAGTGCAGTGTGCTACCTGTTGGAGATGTGACCAGCTACGTCCCTGATCACGAGGTGGGAAAGCAGCCCTCCGATTGTCTTGCTTGCCTGCCCCTCTGTTTAGGGTAGGCCAATTTGGCCAAACATATGCAGACTGACGCAAAGGATGCTGAACCTGGGATTCCAAGGAGTTTCATGATGTAGTTGCCAAATGGGGTCTCGTCGAACTGTTCTTAACTTGTCTCTCTGTTTGGATTATTGCAGGCAGATGTTGCTATTCTGGAGGAGCCTGAGCACCTGAACTGGTACCACCATGGACAGCGATGGAACAAGAAGTTCAACCATGTCGTTGGCATCATGCACACGAACTACGTCGACTACGCTCGGCGTGAGGAAAATGGTGACATCAAAGCCAGAATTCTTCACAGAGTAAACCAGTGGGTGACCAGAATCCATTGCGACCAGGTGGTGAAGCTGTCCGACGCAGTGCAGCCGCTCATCCGTGAGAAGACCATGTTCGTCCATGGCGTTTCCCCAACCTTCATAAGGGTTGGCAAGAACAAGGCGTTGCAGGCCCAGTCGGTGACTGAGCCAGGGGCCTCTGTCTTCCCAAAGGGCATGTACTTCATTGGGAAGATGGTGTGGGGCAAGGGCTACACGGAGCTCCTGGACCTGCTAGCCAACCACAGCAACAGGCGGGGGCAAAACTTGCACGTTGATGTGTACGGGAGCGGCATAGACTCTTCGGCCGTGATGGAGAAGGCGCGGGAGAGCCGCCTGGACGTGGACTTCCATGCTGGGAGGGATCACGCGGACCCGCTGCTCCAGGACTACAAGGTGTTTGTGAACCCCAGCCTGAGCGACGTGGTGGCCACGACGACGGCCGAGGCGCTGGCCATGGGCAAGTTCGTGGTCTGCGCTGACCACCCCGCGAACAAGTTTTTCTCCCAGTTCCCCAACTGCCTGATCTACCGCACGCCCGAGGAGTTCTCCCAACAGGTCGAGAAAGCGCTGAGCCACAACCCAGAGCCTCTCTCGGAGGAGGACCAGAGGAAGTTGACATGGGAGGCCGCGACCGAGAGGCTGATGGACGTCACTGAGATGAGCAAGGACGAGACGGCTGGGGGCGTGGAGGCGCTTGTGGACAACTTTTTCTGGGCCGCCCACAATTCCCTGACGAGGGTTGAACCGCTCAGGGTGGTGGCTGGGGCTGGCGCCAACACGCGGGACAACCCACAGAGGGTGGAAGACTTCGTGCCCTCGGAATCGGAAGCCGGGGGCTTTCTTGACAGCAAGAAGAGGGTCAAACAAGTGCAGCGCTGAGGGCTGGGCGGTGGGGGCCAGAGATGCGGTCTGGGGCAAGGAAGCTGGTCAGAGTGCCAGGCCAGTGGTGGCGCATGGATGTATGTCTTTTAGTGTAGTGTGCGGCCTGTGGAGCGTGCATGCCCGATCCGCTGCCATGCGTGCCATTGGAGGCTCGCCAGACACACGTACGAGGAGGAAAATTTGAAGCAGTTCATTGAAATTTAGCCAGAGATCACCTTCAACGGAAGAGGGCTTTGAATACTGATGACGACCATTGTGGAATCATATTTCATGTTCCCATTATTATTCTTTCTGGCCGTCGTGCCAGTGTCAAGAGGTTGGTGCCTTTTATCGTCGTTTCACCCATGGATTGGGTTGCCCTTCAATTCTATCGGTCGTTGTGCCCGTTGTTGGGTTGCAGTGCAGCCGTTGCACTTGGAAGGCAAGAGCGTGGTTGGGGTTTGCAATGGGGTCTTGTGGGGGCAGCCTGGTGATTGCCACGGGATCTGTGGGACTGTCTTCTCTTGGTTGTTTACTGTCAACTGTAAAGCAAACTGTCTTGTGGGTGAACGTAGAAGTCTTTGATGACAAGATGTCCTGATGAGTATTTTGAGCTGCCTGTTCTTCATCCGAGTGCAGGGGCAGCTGTGCGTTCCCTATAATGTTGCACAACCGAAGATGGCATCGAAGATAATGACCGACCATACAACCGATGCACCTCCTGCACCAGGCAACCGGGCAAGCACCCACTATCCAGTCCACTGGAGATCATAGCCATTTCCCCTGTTGGAGCCTGGCCACGTATCACGGGGTCTGGTGGTCTTGACTCTTAAAAATCCGCTCGGGCTTGCAGTGTAAACCCGTAATACCCCTATGATGACTCGACATGTCCAAACATTGTGCCAATTTGGCGGCGCACCCTCCCCCACCCTTCCTAAACCTGAAAACTGCAGCCATTTCCGTTGGCCTTGCGACTTGGCCTGGCTGCTGGGACAACTTCAAAGAATTTTGGCGCCTTGTCGTCCTTTTCACCCCCATTATACGGTCTGCATCATTGTGTTGACAGGGGCTCTTCAACAGCAAGTCCCACAGCAAGTCGCGAAAGGTCTTGCACACATGCCAACACACAAATTGCAAAAATGCAAACTTCGCGATTTCGTTGCTAAAGCAAGTGCAACCGCGAAAGACAGGCCTTGGTTTTGTGTCCAGCGGCTGGAATTGCCCGGCCATCGGATCTGAAGTGGCTGGTGGCATCGAACGCAGAATACAGACGAGATTACTGCGCGTCTTTTACCTCCGTCTTGTGCCGCATTACTCATCTACCGCCAAAGGCGCCGCGTCCTCCCAGCAAATTCTGGAAGGACACGGACACCATCACCACCCCTGCCGTACCATTGCGTAAACTTCTCGGCATCGTCGCGTCCGTACATAAACCCGGTGGGGCAACTCAGGCCCACGCGCACGGGCAGCGGGCTGCTCTTGGCTCCACGCGAACCACTCCCGCACGGACGGCGCCCCCAGCCCTCGAGCAAACATGCCTTTCATCCTCCACGTGACGTTCCGTAGGGAGGAGTTCACGCTCAGCCTCGATGACGGCGACCCGTCCTTGGGCGAGGTCGGCGCGGCGATTGCCCACCGGTCGGGGATGCCGCTGGAAACGCTGAAGCTGCTGGTGACCGGCCGCAGGGGCCCTCCCGTGCAGCCGGCAGCCATGAAGGGGATGAGATCGTCAGAAGCAGGTGCGTCGCACTCTCCCTTTATTCTGGACTGCTGCAATCGCGCACCAGCGGGGGGCGGGGTGGGGGTGGGGGTGGGGGGGCTATGCGGACTGGTGGTTGGCATTCGAAACACCGGCACAGGCGGGAACCTCTTTGGGCCAGCGGTTGATGGACTTTTGAATTGTGCTCGTTGGTCTGGGCGTTTGGAGGGGTACTTGTTGAATCAATGGAGCATTGTTTGGCATATGCTGATGGGCTTGGTGCTGTGACAGGGCTGCGGTCGGGCGCCAAGGCGATGCTGATTTCCAGCAACCTGCAGGACGTTCAGAGCGTGATTTCTGCGCGGGACCTGCCCGGAGTCCGAGGCTTCGAGGAGGAGGTTGAGCGCGAAGCGCTCAGGAGGCGCCGAAACGCTGGCGTGGTTGGGCCCCCTGGAGGTGAGTTCTGGAAGCCTCTGGATGCCAGAGAATGCGCTGTTAGGGAGCGACGAGTGGGATCCTCTCGATGCTTCTGATGCAGAGTGGATGGTCCTACGAGACACCTTCCCTGCATCCATCCTCATTGTTGCTCCAACCGACTGCAGCAGCCCGCATGCATGTGTGCGATTCGTGGCCCCAGTTCATTGCTCTTTGCACAACGGAATTATTCTCCACACCCTCTGCCAAAGTGTCCCTTCAGCTGGTGAAACAGCATCGCAACGACCACCAAAGCGAGTTTTTCACTTGCTGCCATGCGTTATGGGTCTGGATATTCTTGCCAGCCTCCAGGGCATTTGTCCATTTGCTGTGGTGCTCTGCTGGTCAGTGAGTCACTCAGCAATACAGTACCTTAGGCCGCGTGTTGGGGAGTTGCAGTTGCTGTGCTGCAGCGATGCCATAGTTGTGTGCAATGGGAAACAATGCCCTCCACAGCTTTCAGGCCTTGGCCTGGCGTTAGCAAGCTATCCAGCGTCCAAAACAGAGTTCTGAACAGATTCAAAACCTATGGAAGAACGCTGTCCATGTGCGGTGTTGACAAAACAAGAGGCAGAGCATTGTGTCCATGCTTTACACTGGAAGCACCACAGTGTTGTCTCTTTATGCCTGATGTGCTTTTCAAGTGCCTATGTGTTTGGCAGCTTTTTAAGCATCTGTAGCAGAGCATTGACTTCCAACGGAATTTGTGTGTTGTAATTTTGCAGGACGTTACACTTTCTCCAGCTACTCCGTGCTGGAAGACAAACAGCTGATTCCCTCTCAATCATTGGCATTGAAGCTCCTGTACCGCTTGGCATCGGATCCTGGCATTGTGGGTATCATGAACAAGCATCGTTGGAGTGTTGGCCTCTTGAGTGAAATGCCACCTGAGGGGAAAGTTGGCATCAGCAGAATGTGCATTCTTGGCTACAACGTGAACAAAGGACAGGAGATTTCTCTCAGGCTCAGGACTGATGATCTGAAGGGCTTTCGGAAGTACCTCAAGATTCGCGAGACACTTGTCCATGAGCTGGCCCACATGGTATGGAGTGAACATGACAACAATTTTAAGAGTCTGAACTCGCAGTTGCTCCGTGAGTGTGATGAATTTAATCGGCAAAGTCAGTCTGGCCATGTCCTTGGTGGCTGGGAGATTCAGCGCCAGGATTCAGAAGACATGGAGCAATGGCAGACCGAGTACCCCGAAACTGTCAGCCAAGTGGGGCACACACTGGGTGGTTCGTTGGTGACCATTGTTGCTGACCCAAGGGCAGCTGCTCGAGATGCTGCCCTGAAGAGGTTGCAAGCGGCAGGCCCAGTGCCAAAAGGCAGTGAGCAGGCTAGCTCCTCTGCTAGCCAAGAATATGGAAACAAAGTTGCGCAAGAGGATGGAATGGAGGCTGTGGAGCTGGAGCGGTTCGAGCACCACGATCCACAAACAGCCGATGATGAGGACAGAATGACGAAGCTGGGGTCACTTGACTTGGGTGAAGGTGGATTAGGGCCAGATGACCATTGTTGCAGATCGCACCCTGCCCCATCCCCATCTGGAGTTGCAGATGTTGCCAGCAATGCTGATGTCCGACAGGAAGTCAAGGCTGACCAACACAATGACGCTGAGCCAGGTTCTCCAAGAGGTGCAACTGTGGTGGCGGCGAGCGATTGGGAACAAACTCTTGCCAACAACGTGGACTCCCAGCAAGGAGGCATGCCTGATGAATGTCCCAACCTCGAGAATGCTTCGTCCAGAGGTGTGACTGCACAGGCAGCAGGACAATTGGTGGAACCCTCAAGTTCACATTTCTCTGACGACCAAATGCAGGATGTGGCTTCCACCGAAGACCCAGCAGTAGAAAGATATAAGAGAGCAGAGGCTGCTCTGGATAGACTGCTTTCACTACCAGGTGGAGGAGACTCGTTAGTTGCACTGCAGACAATGGAAGTGATTCTCCGAAATGCGCTGGGGTCACCTGCAGAGGAAAAGTACCGAAGGTTGAGGTGCAGGAATCCGACAATATACTCGCGTGTTGTGAGGCATCCAGCAGCGGTGGATTTGTTGGGCGTGGCAGGATTTCAGAGGGAAGAGGGTGGCGACCCTGTGCTGCGTCTGCGGAACAATGACCCAGGCGTGCTTTGGTTGACGTTGTCTGTTGTTCAAGAGGGATTGCAGCGGATCGGTAATGCTTCTTGATGGCACGTCTTGGAACGCCATATTATGGTGGTGATGCGAACCTCGATTTGCATGTATTTTTTTATTGTATTGTAAATTGTACGTTTATCTTGTTGACAATGGTTTCCAGGGTGGGGCTTTCAGCTGTCCTTCAAATATCTGTGTCCTACCCTTTGAATGATTGGCTCCCTTCACAAGAAATGAATTTGTAACTGCAGGTATTGACTCAATACCATTGAGCCACCCTTGCAGCACGGCAACTTGGCAATGCATGTGCGTGCTTTGCTTTGCAAGCCGTCAAATCTTTATCGACTCTGATTACGATTTTCTTGAAATGCTGGATGGACGCTGGATGAGAAACGCACTGGAAGCTGCATTTGCAGCCGGTTTGAAACCAGTATGTTAAGGCGAGACGACCGTTTGTGGCGCAAGCACGGGCAGGGTAAACTGGCTCATTGGATGGAACGCTTTGAAAGCAAACCTGCAGTTTTTTTGTGCTGTGGCCCACAGCCCACATCAATTGTGGTGGTGGTCCTTGTGGACCATCCCAGGGGCCCTGTTGTAAAAGCGCTGAAAACTGACGTGGCAGTGACGTGGCTGTCTGGGTTTTAGGTGTTAGGGTTAGGTTGGAATATGTTTTAGGGTTAGTGTTTTTTAGGTTTTTTAGGTTTGGTTTTCAGGATTTTCAGGGTTTTAGGGTTTTAGGGTTTTAGCGTTTATGGTTACCTTAAAGCCTAACCCTAAAACCTAAAAAAACTAAAGCCAAGCCAAGCCAAACACACATACATCACTGCCACGTCAGTTTTCAGCGACATCATGCGGGGGGCATCCCAGGCAGTGAGCCACGTGTCAGACACAGAACCACCTTGGGCAAGCTGAATCAAAATTGACAAACCCCAATGCTGCGCTGATCAAACACGCAATCCACGACCCACCCCACGACCGCAAAAGCAGTAAAGCACCAATGGCGCTGGTCGTCCCGATTGGCTGCCACCTCGCCCGGCCTTTGGTTCCCCCCGTACCAATCGACACAAAAACCGACAGGCGGGCAACAGCGCCTCTCGTGTAATAGCCAACTCGCTCGGCGTCATCGGCCCTCGAAACGCTATTCATGGTGTTTTTGGCGGTCCTCCGCCGACTGCCGCTCGGCGCGAACACGCCAGGCTGCGGCTTCACACGCCCGGCGAGCCTCGCGGGACTGCGCTGCGCCGATTCCAGGCGTCTGAAGGAGGCGTACCGGCGCAGGGGGTAAGTCGCTGAAGTGTGCGCGATGAATGGACTTGGTGGTGGCTTGTGGGGGAATTGACACGTGGCCATGGTCGATCTGTTGAACCGATGGGATGCGTGCCAGTGGCGACGACTTGTATGACGGATGGGCAATCTCCAGTATCGGCTGGCGGATGTTCTGCGGGCGGTTGGGTCGTAGGGGTGTTGGGGGAATTGGGGCGCTGGGGGGGAACGTCGGTGAACATGCTTGCGCGTGTTTGCGAAGGAACTGACGGAAATCGCGCGCACCGGGCCGGGGGTGTGGGCTTGCGCCATTATGGCGACTGTGAACGAAATCGAATGAAGGTGGTGGCGACGGGCCTCGCCTTCCGCGCCACTGCTCTGCTGCGCCATCGCGTGGCGCTTTGCCGGCACGCGTGTCAGTCGATGGCAATTTAACAACATGCACGGCAAAGGGCCGTGGCGCAATCAGCGAAACCGCCCGGCACCTGATCAAGTCGTCGATGTTCAACGCGCGCAGTTCTGTTCTGTTTGGGTGGCGCATCGGCAGAGGAGGTCTTGTTGTTCGGCACAGCGGCGCAGCGACAAGGGCGACCCCAGATCCTGTTGGCGAAGTTTGTCCACAATTGGGTCCAGTCCAAATTTGGCTACATTTGCCATGGGCCCAATGTTCGTACATGTCACTAGATCCTGGGCCCCCGCAGGTGCTCAACCCGCGGCCACAATTTCACGTGGAGACTGACTGACACCCAGCTGAGAGGAGGCACGTTCAAGCAATCGTGCCCAAATGGGCATGCACAATTGCGTTTACAACAGATAAAATAGCTTAGTGCACTTCTGTCCATGATCAGGAATCAATTTGAGCATTTCAGCACATGCACGCTTTGGAGTTCTGGCAGTGAATCCACGGCATTAAATATCTGCCTGAGCAAGTTCATGCCTATGATTACTCTGAAGCCAATGGTATTATGACTGTCAAATGCACAGGCGCTGTTCTGTGGCAGCAATGGCTGCTTCAAAGTGGGTGGAAGAAGACAAGCGCAGGCTTCTGCATGTGGTGTACCGCGTTGGAGACATGGATGCCACAATCGACTACTACAAGAAATGTTTTGGCATGCAGCTCCTTCGGTACAGAGACATAAAAGAAGAAAAGTACACGTGAGCAAGATTGGGTCACCCCTGGGCACTCTGCTGGTGCTGTTCCATTCTGCTTGAGTTGCCAGAGTCAGTCAGTCAAGGCACCAGTGCATGACCCAAGCACAACAACTTACCTCACAGTCGCAACTCAGGCACTGTTTGTCCCTGCATTGGTGGCTCAGAGAAAGAAGATATTCAAAAGCAAATGCCTCTGTAACTTCTGTTAGGGCAAGTGGGCTGCTTTTGCTCCAGCGACTGTGTTGATGCCTTCCTTGGACACGAGCAGGACTTGCCAAAAATCTGTCATGAAGGCTGTGCAATGTCACATTGTCTGCCACGGTGCATCAGTAGCATACTGAGTGTCTGCCCAACGTGGTGTCTGTGGATGTGGCCACAATGTGTGGCAAAGAGCGGCCATTCATGGAGCTCTGGAAGGAACCCTTCCTTGGACACAAGCATGACTTGCCAAAACTCTGTCATGAAGGCTGTGCAATGTCACATTGTCTGCCACATTGCATCAGTAGCGAACTGAGTGTCTGCCCAACGTGGTCTCTGTGGATGTGGCCACAATGTGTTACAAAGAGTGGCCATTGCTGGAGCTCTGGAAGGAACAAAGGAAAAATGTCAGGGCGGGAATTAGCTTCTTTGTAATTCCTGCCCCTTGTGTTGTGCTGACATTGCTAAAATGGCTGCCTTGGCTCCTTTTCCTCAGTTGGAAGGAGAACTGTTGTACGCATAAGTTGTTGTCTTGTTTCTGATCGATGTTTTTTGTGGGTGTTAAGGAATGCCTTCTTGGGGTATGGAAACGAACGGACCCATTTTGTCACTGAGCTGACATACAACTATGGTGTTGACTCGTACGACCTGGGAGAGGGATTTGGCCACTTTGGTATCCAGCTGCCAGATGTCTACAAGGCAGTGGGTGATATCAAGACTGCAGGAGGGAAGGTGTGCCCTCATAAGAAATGCGGCAAGCGCCGAGTTGCAGTGGTGCTGTGCACATGGCCCTTATGTTGAAAAACATGCCAAAAGAATCCATTGTTGTTAGAATGTATCAGCATTATCGCAGATTTGTATCCGGACGCGTACAAGAATGTGAAATCTGCATAGTTGTCGAAAGTGAGCCAAAGGCGAGCAGAGGTTTGTCACAAAGCGATAACGATGTGGATGGGCTCCTTAGCTGGCTGCCATATTCGACACATGCGAATCTTGATTGTTGGTTTCGTCCTTGGACGATCTGTCAATTGTTCGTTTTCATCTCAGGGGATTGTGGGACTGATGGCAATTTTGAAGGGCTGGACATGGCTGTGCAACGCCCTGTTTTGTCGATGCACTACTCAAGAAAGCAATCAGTTCTTGACTTGCGCTGCTGCACTTGAATTGCAAGGAAAGTCAGTTCTGTTCATTCTCTTCATGCTCCAGTATTCTCAGAGCCACTGAGTTAGCGCACGATACGCCATTCTGTTGCTGACCAATCCCTGCTGCCCCGCTGCCCTCCAGGTCTCAAGGGATGCTGGACCGGTGAAGGGCGGCACGACTGTCATCGCCTTTGTTGAGGACCCCACTGGCTACAAATGGGAACTCATCCAGAAACCCGAGAAACGAGACGATCCCATGTGCCAGGTCATGCTCCGGGTGGGCGACCTGGAGAAGAGCATAAAGTACTACAAAGAGGCCCTGGGAATGCAGTTGCTGAGGACGAGGGAGAATCCGGAGTACAAGTACACCCTTGCGTTCATGGGTTACGGCCCAGAGGACAGCAGCCCAGTGAGTGCAGCCACATTTTTGGCAATCAATTCACAGTTTGTGGCCATTTTTGCCATTCAACTCTGTGTTCCCTTTGTTTTTGATCCAGCCTTTCCGATGCTGGCGGCACTGTGCACTGCTGAGTCTGTCTGGGCCCAAACGCTCCGATCAAGACAACTGTCGCTTCGTGAATAGCCCCCACAGGGCAAAGGGCGTAGTTCTTTAGTTGCTGAATAGGTCGGCGTCAACTGAATGCACTTCAACCGTCGCCAGGGGAACGTGCGCTCCTGATCGAGCTCATCACAGCGGGCCTCGGAAGGCACCTCCGTGCGGCTTGCCATCCAGCGAGATCACCTTGGGGCGTGAATGTGCAGACACGCACTGATGCAGCTGATATAAGGAACGACTCCTTGTTGGACAGTGTCATAGCACTCCGCATATTTATTGAAACCACGTGCCAGCCATGAAATCGCAACCAACGTGGGAATGAGCCCAACACAGTGGAGGCATGAATGTCTACCAGTATTCTTTGGCCGCAAGCAGCGCCTGGCAGTCCCCTTCGTCCACTTGTTAGTTTCTGTCTGTGGACGCTGTTCACCCAGGTGACATTGCCTGCCTCGAGTGTGTCTCAACGCCGCCCCGTCCCTTGGTGTTTGCTTTCCCCGCACAGGTGATGGAACTGACGTACAACTGGGGCAAGGAGAGCTACACGAAGGGCAATGCCTACGGCCAAATTGCAGTCAGCACGAAAGACGTGTACAAGACTGCTGAAGACATCAAGGCGGCTGGGTGGGAGCTGACCAGAGAGGCGGGGCCTGTGCCGGGCATCGGGACCAAGATCTGTGCCACTGTGGACCCTGACGGCTGGAAGACCGTGTTTGTCGATGAAGAAGACTTCTTGAAGGAGTTGGTGGAGGCAGAGAGCCAGGCATGAGTCGCGGGAGGGCTAGACTTGGCTTGATTGACCTGGGGCGCTGATGGCCATGCGAATGGAGGTGTCTGGGGCGCGGCTTGGTGGCGAGGACGTGCTTGGCGGCGCCAGACTTCTGCCACTTTGTTAAGTCGTGCCATCTGTGGCATGCCACCGAATAATGACACAATGGCTGTGGATGCCAGGCAGGGGCTGCTTCATTGTGTGTTGTGGAAACTACTGTCATGGGTTCGCCTGATGTCTGCTCCAGATATTCTATACTCCAATTCAGCTGTCAGAGCTTGCAATGACGTAAACGCAATGCAGGCCCTAAAATGCTTTTCAGAAACGTCAACAGCACGACCTTCACAAGAGGCGCCGGAAGCACCACAGCCCAACAGTTCTTTGATGCTGCATCAATGATGCAGTCGCCGCTGCTCACAAGTCCAGCGAATGGCAGAGTCTCTACATGCAGGGACAACATCGCATGTTCCCGAAGGAATGCCAATGCCGCAATGTTTGGGCTGGCGTTTGTTTTGTGAATGGGTGGATGTTTGGCAGTGGTGATTGCCTGCGGCATTTGGCATGGATGCTTGTGTGAAATACTGACCGACACACAGTAGTGTCATGTTCCCCAACGATGATTGACACCGGCACATCGACAGTACACAGTTGTGCATCTGGCTGAAACGCTTGATGTTAAAGCATGCATTTGTTCGCTCAACGCCACCGGGTAATGCTAAGGGCAAACCAGCCACTTGCGCCGCCTCTTGTTGGCAACGTCGGGACTCAGTTATGGGGTGGGGACAACTATGCTTCCGGCGTGCACGCCCAGGGGCGGTTTGAGCCATCAATCAAGCCGTCATCTTTCAAACGCTGGAAGTTCAGGATAACATTTGACATTCTTGAACTATTGTGGCTTCGAAGTCTCACCATGCACAGTAACCACTGCAACGTTGGCGTGGGGCGAGAAGGGGTGCTACAATGCAGGGTCGCAAAGTCCATGCTGGGGCCCATAGCCTGCTGGCATGAATTGCAGCTGATCCTAGCGCATAATCAGACATCTGCTTTACCCAAAACTGCTGACGTGGCCGTTCAGCTTTTGCAAATACGTGCAAAAGGGCAGCAACGATGATCGCCTCAGGTCGACTATTGGGCCCTTGGAGAAATGTCACCTGATGAAAATCCACTCAATTTCCGTGAATTTGCGTTCCTCTGTGACACCAGGCACAAGTGAGCATTTGAAGTCGTTGCTGGCATCAGCAGCCATTCATCGCTCAACAAATATTCCAATACATCAAAGGAAGTGCAGCCTCATGAGTTCACCTTTTCCCTGTCAGCAGGACAGTGTCGCTGCTAGAATCTAGGTATGCTTTGAAAGTCATAATCTTCGTACCCCCGCCATGCATAGTAGGCAATCCTGGAGTGGTAGAAGCCTGCACAGCATTCAACAAACCGCGTCACAGAACCCAAGCCCAAGCCAGTGCAACTGTCGTCCTTGTTCTGTCCACTGGTAATGGCTATTCTCCCAAAACAGCACCACTTCCGCAGCCTTCTTGGGGGCTTGTTACCGATGGAGAGCAAATCAAATGTCAAGCAAGTGCAACCCTAACAGCGCATGCAATGCTGCAAGGCACTTCACGCACTCCATGATGGACTGCAAGCACTTCAATGTAGATTCCCGATGCCAGGAGCAGTCCGTGAAATTTGTCCATTTCAGTGTGCACAGGGTGAGGGCGACTGCGATTGGGTACCGTCACTACATCAGTACGAGAACAACATTGCCTGCGCATTTGTGGTGCTGTTAATGCACAAAGCATCCCATTCTTTTCGTTTCTATTTCTCTTGTGCTTCTGCCGTTGCACGTTGCTTGAGACACAGTGTCTGGTGGCACATCAACACCACCTTCCTGGCAACAATTCAGCCACTGCAGATTCGCAATTCCCCCTTCCCCATCACCCCATCCACTGCAAACCGGGACAGATGCTAGCGTTGAAATACCTGGGATGAATGTCAGCAGGCCAAGCACCAGGAATCCCCACCCCTGCACAAAAACCATAAATGACACATACTTGGTTTTGCTGCAAGGCAATCCAGGTGCACAAGCACCTGCCAGCCCATCAGTGGGCTCTTGAGAACAGCACACAACCAGGGCATTCAAATGTGACTCTATGCAAGGTGGGAGGCAGTTGTTGCAATTGTGAAAGGCAAAATCTCATGCTCTGTGGACAGCATATCACAAGGCAAACGTTCCCCACAAGAGAAACTGCAATGAGCCCTGGTTGCAATTAACATTCCCAGTTCCTCACCGCTCCTGTTTTGCTGAGCAAGTGGCCTGTGGCATGTAGGATAGTCAAAGTGAAGAAGGCGACCCCTGCCAGCAATAAGAATGCTGCCAGCACAATTGAGTAGCAAAGCCCCGGAGTCTGTCTGTCAAGCTCATCCACAACCTCCTCCTCCTCCTCCTCCTTTGGAGCAATTAGCAAAGTACATATCATTGATCCACAGCAGGAAACGCACCCACAAATCAAGACATTATTTGCCGCATTAACTTGGACCAGATGCGGGACAATTCAATCCGTCGATGCACTTGCCATAAAGAGCAGCAATCCCACGTATCAAAAGCCCGCGCACACTGCCAAACCGTTCGCAAAGGGATTCTTGAATTGCATCGGAGAGCTAAATCAAACCGACTGTCCGAAGAGCTCAAAGTCTTCGCCACATTCGCAGCACGCAGCTCCGTCTCGTCGGTGTCCACGAACACGAGTTCTAGCCGTGCTGCAGCCCTCTCGCGCACTCACGTTCCTGCCTGCGCGCGTGTCCTGCTCTGCTAAGGAACTGTAACCCCGGCGCCGCGCGTTGCCTCTCTCAGCCATAGGCGTCACCCTGCGCCGGATGCCGCAGTCCTGATGCCAATCACCGCGGTGCTGAGAGGATGTGGGCTTGCGAACCAAACAAGCACTTAAAGGGAGAGGTTCAAGGCATGACCGTCGTTTAGGTGTTTGCTTTGTGCTGGGACCTGATGAAATCGCAACGAGGCACGGCGTTGTAGCAGCGCGTTTCCTTAAGGGGTGGACACGTGTGCGTGCGAGGAAAGGGCAGTGTTCCAAAGAACACTGCCCAAGAACAATTGAAATGCTGTTCAGCGCATCGAATTTGTCTGCTTTGTAAATGTACAGCAAACTCAAAAGCGACCATATTGTCGACTGCTCGGCGTCCTCGTCCAACTCCCCTTGCCCTCTTACTGCAAATGAGGCATTAACAACGCCTCATGAGTACAATAGGACAGACATGTGGATAAGAAGGACGGGAGGGTGGTCCAAAACAAGGTGCCGGGGGAACGCCAACGGATAACATGCGAGGCATATGAATATACGACAATGGACGTATTCCCATTTATTCCGTGATCAGCATTTTCATGAACACGAATGTTCATGTCCGGAAAATGTCAATCGTTTATATGAGATTCGCAATTCGCCCAGGTTCTATCTTTGGTTGAATAATGTTCACTTGTGAGTAGTCAGCAATGACTATCGGCAATTGAACATTATCCAATGATAGACAAACCTGCAGGAACTATGAGATCTCACGAAGACGAGTTGTGTTTTCCGGAGTCTCTTATGAAGCACAAGTGAGGATATGCACTGAGACGAAGACAGTGCCCAGCAGAACAGGAACCAAAAAAAACTGGAATTCTGCAGCGCACTCTTCAGAGCACCATCGTCAGATAGCATGCGGATAAAAATATGACAGTTTCCTGGTGCCGGAGGCAGTTCCGCCCCATCGTGCGCATTTCCGAATCAGTCAACTTACACTACCTAATTTATGGAAACTGGTCATGTACTTTTGCTGGCAGAAGGTCGGCGGGGTATCCAGCGCCTTTTGTTTGACCGTCTTTCCCAAGCGGTGCTTCGATTTGCCTTGAACGCAACACAGGCGCGCGCCCGGCGCGCGCCAGCCACGTGCCCCCCGCTCACCTTTGACCGCCGGATGTACTTTAAGGGGCATCAAATCACCGGCAAAGTTGACCCGGACTTCCACGTCCTTCCGACCCGGTCATTGAGTCAGCGCGAGTTCCGGCACTTTCGGGTATAAATCCCCCTCATCCGTCCTCCCACCACCCCTTCGCTCCGCAAACCCTCTTGACTTTGGAGCCGACATCGGGCTTCGAAAGTCCGAAATGACGACGACGCCGAGACGCCGGGGTGATTGAAAAGCGGCCTCGCCGTGACGGCGACGGGGACGCGGCTGTGGAGAAGAACCGTCCCTTCGCCGCAGGTCACTGGTGAGCTGCGGCGCGCGTTGACGCCAATCTACGCCTCGCTGCGCCGTATCGCTGGCAGCTCGAGACGTTCCTTCTTGGTCTGGTGTCGAGGGACGTGACGCTGACGACGGCGTGCTGGGAATTTTGTGCTTGCGAGTGTGGGCGGCATGGTCTTCACGAGCGGACACTGTTTGGCTTGGCGACGTTCCGCGTCCGTCGACGCTCCGAACACCGCGTTGTTGCCCCCCCTGCCTCGTAGTGTATGGACAAGTGCCGTACGTCCGAGATTCGACCGTTGCGACATAGCACGTCATCTTCCCCGCGCAGCTGCGTTCATGCGCCGCCCCGGCCTGTTTAGGCCAAGTCAACGGCAACTGACCCGCGACGCGAGGCATAGTCGCAAGTTCGCCCAGTGCATGCGAGGCACCGGGGCGGGTGCCCCTGAATTTGCTGACGCCGCTTTTAGCCGCCACCGAATGCTTGTGCGCCGCCGTTTGGGATTTTGTCGTTGCTACCGAAACGCAGACGCAGTATTATCCGGCTGAATGCGAAGCTTCAGATTTGATGGCCCGGGGAATTTCTGCCGATAGCGCAGCTGCGGTCTGTGCAATTTGGCAATGCAGCATCGGGCCAGCTTATCCTGTTTGCAAAGAATACTTGCTTCACGAAAGCTCACTTTGGTTTGGCTGAAAGCGTCAGCGCGAGAGCAACATCGAGCTTTCGCGGGTGGCGCTTTTTGTTTTCATACACTTCTCTGATTTTTGAATAAGTGTCCGAAGATTTCTCTCGGCGTTCCGGTATCGTGGCCGATGAGTAAATGCCGCCAGTGTGCATGGCATGTTTTACCATTGCGTGATATTTGTGGTGCAGATTCACCTGTAGAGCCGCCAGCGCACCCGGCGACATGCTGCCACAGCTCACACTGCTAAACGTGAGCACTTCAAAGGTGAGTTCCACTTTCAACGATTTCTGCCGGAGGTTTAGTAATTCACTATCACTTGATAGCCCTCAGCTCTGCCATACTGATTCAAAAAATTATCGTTTTTTCTTCAACGGGAATGCAGGAATACAATATTTTTCTTCCATCTATCAGTACGTCTGCTATTACGATTACATGAATGTATTGATTATCGTGTGGGCCTGCGTTTTCTCGACAATGAGACCATACCTAACTGTGCTATCAGAGCTTGTCAAAACTTGTTTTCCAAGACCATGAACACAGATAGAAAACCAGATCATTCCGGCCATCATAGAGGAGCTTCATTGCGACGAGATTGGATCCCAATCACTCCCCTCATCCTTAAGGACGTTTCCCCTCCTGTTGCAGCCCCAGTGGGTCTACTCGTCCTACGATCCATACTCTTCTCACGGGGACAGCCACAATGGCTACAGGCTCCCCAAATTTCCCAATCATGACGATAGATGAGGCGACGGCAAGACGCCAGCGGGCAGCGCATTATCCACTGCAGGCGCTCTCCAGGCTCTACGGGCTACGGAGGCCATTACGAGTGCTCTTGCTATAGGAGCTGATGACCCTACAGCCCCTGTGCTGCGTAGAGCCACTGTGGAGGACACCATATTGAGACGTGCAAGGGGAGCACGACTGCTGTGAGGGATACGGCAGCTACGTGGCTACGTTTACAACATGTAGGGGCGCCATTGAATGGGTGATTACCGTGGAGATCATGACACATACAAAGAGCCCGACCGCGGTTTGGCCCCGACAGCTGCGGCAGGCATGGCAAGTATGGCAGCCTTGCATCCCATCAAGGGGATGACTATGGCGAAGTTCGCAGTCGCTATGGGGGACGCGAGAGCTGCAAAAACAATGCTGATTGGAGGACAGGTAAGTACGGTGGTGGCGGCAGCTGCCGCAGATGCGAGCCCCACAAGTATGTCGACCACGGGTTGTGGCCACACTTCTAACGATGAGCAGGACAGCCATCATGGATGCGAAACCTAAATGCCCTTGACACCTGAAAACGCGCCTGAAGCAAAGGCCATAGCATCATAGGAGGAATGGCACCTACAAGGATCGCAAGCAATACAGAGCCAGGTACCAAGCCTATCCCAGTGCTTGCGGCCATGGCTACGTGTCCGCCACAATGGCAAAGAGTTGGGCAATGGTGACGCACGAGAGCCTGGCTTCGTTGACGAAACAGGTGGCGACGGCTGTGCACTTGCAAAGAGCCACGCCGGAAAGGCGACCATGTTGGCCAAGCGGACACACGCAGCAAGAAATCCCTTCATGCGGAGGAACCGGACGCTGCGATGCGCGCACTGCAGGTGGGAAGAGCGTTTTGGAACGAAAATTTTCATACATTTGTGTAATTATTTCAATTCCATTTTATTGCAAGGACAACGAACAACAAGCCACTGTGCCGTGTGGAGTGCCGGGACTGTTCTGCGGTAATAATAGATTGCCTTATTGACAAAATTGCCATCACGGGTGTTAATCCAGGGTATTTCTGAACTTTGGCATCGACTTGCACAACGCAACAATTTGGAAAACGCCGCACGGACCGTGGTCGATGCGCAGACTTCATTCTTGCATGAAGGCCGGCATTCTCAGGGCGAGTGTGGCCCGGTGTGCATCCAGGTCGCTGTTCCTTCGGCACTGTTCGAGGCGCATTTGAAACCAGAAGACATCCAAATAATGCAGCGCGCACGCCCGGTGCTGAATGGCGGACCACGTTGGGGCACGGGGTGAAAGGGATGGCGGAGTCGGACGGACGTGGCCATCCTACATAGGCGTATTCTCTTGGCAGCCCACTGTGTGTGGGGCAGTTGGGAAGCAGGGAATTGCGCTGAAGCTGAGAGACAAAGCATTGATTTTTCACTCTTCGACATCCATCACCTTTGGCAAGGGGTGCATGGCCAAGGATGTATCAGACATTTGATTGGTGTAACTCAAGGAACTTCTCAATCCCTGTCCGCTTTCTGAATTTTAACATCAAATTTCGGCCAAGCCAGGAGTTTAGCGCCGCTGTGGCGTTTAAGTTAGCGCCGCTGCAACATGGCCATGCAGTCTATGTGCTGCACATCATGTTCATGGCACGAAGCGGCACAACGTCTTTCACAATCCTGCATCCCAACCATACCCCAGCCAGCTTCAGACCGTCAATCCCTGCGCCAGTCGTCCAATCCGGAGCCGATGGCCCCGCTGTTGGGAGGCACTGATCTACAGTGGCCGCTGCTAATGGAGTAGCAGCAGTGAGAGTGATGTCACATATA